GATTTGATTAATTTTCCATTAATCGATTTTCACATTATATGTCTTAGGGTAGAATATTTAAAATGCATAATGTGAAATTGATTAATGAAAAATTAACTAAATCGCATCAAAATTTGAAGAAATCTAAAAAACAGCATTTTCAATAACTTAGTGAATGAAGTTTGATTTGCTTGTGTAAAATGATTATTTGCTAAAGAAAATCACCGTATGGGCGGATTTGATAACATTTGTGGTTTGCTATTTTTTTGGTTAGGCTAGTTTGAATAATCAATAGCGACAATCCCCACATTACCCTCCAAATGTAAATTTCTAGCTTTTTCGAAGTTTTTAAACGGATAATAAACTAATATAAAAATTATTATCAAAGTCATTTCTTTTTATGATTAATTTAAAGTACATTTGATGAAGTATGAACTTATAAATATTATATATAATTATCTCATTTCTGAAAGCTTTTATTAATAACTATTCTTAAACGCGGCATTATCCCTCTCGTTACTTTATGTTTATATGAGTTTAAATTAATGTCTTACTTATTATTGTATGGTTATAAAGTTTTTACATATAGAATTCGATCATCGAATGAAGCGCGATATTAAACTCTTTGTCAATACTATTGCCGACCTCCAAGGCAAAAATATAATTGATATATTTAATAAAGAAATTGCCCCAGTGGATATTAAAGAAAATGGCTTCCGATCTTCGGTAAACTGAATTTTTAATTTTATCTAAATTTTATATTAAATTCTGTTATTTAATCGAGGCATTGCTATAATAGGTTAAAATAGCACAGTCATTTATGAGATTGTTTCAGAAATATGAAGGTTCCGCGAAAGACATGACGCCACCGACCTAAATCAACAAGAGAAGAGTCGAGACGTTTTCAACAACGGCTACATGGTCAACAAATATGTCCCCTGATTTGCAATCCTTCCTATCCTATTAATAATAATATTATTATTATTTTTATTATTTTATTTTTTCCTATCCTATCCTATATATATAATAATAAAATGATGCCCGTATGCAAATGTACCCTTTATCGATTTAATTGGTCATTCTTGAATATATGTGCACAAAATATTGATCCAAGTACGTACGTACGTACGTATATGCATTTTTATAGGCACATGACCAAGGAACAATATGTAATTTAGAATGCACGCTTTGTTTTAATATGAACGAAAGAAGTGGTGATGTATCGGACATTCGTGATGGACGATAACTTTATTATAGGAAATTTTATTCACGATAATTAAAAAGTGTATAAAATTTTTTAATTATATGGAAAATGTATTCATTATGAGATCTAATTGGCCAAATCTAATAATTTGTGATTGCGTGCGAAAATGTAATTTTTTTGCATATAAATTTTACATATGATATCATTTTTATACGTAGCATGCAAAAAATCTGTAATCTCACATTAGAGGTGGGATCCGTTATCCGTTCAGATAAACCGGAGTTTATCCGTATCTGTCCATCCGTCTTTGACTAACTCCGGCAGATATTCGAATAAACCGGATAAAAATTAAAACATTGAAAATTGGCAAAATCAAATTGGTAGTTCGAATTATAATTTTACAATAATATTGAATTTTGAATATTCCAAGACCATAATACACATATTGGGCTAAAATCAATATTTTATGTAGCCAACAACTTACAGCAATTGAATTTTATTAATTATTTATGACTATGGCAGTATTTGCCTGCTACATAATTTCCAGCATAATAACTTGATAATTTAATTCTTACAAAAAAAGAATAATAATTAGAATTCTTAAGCAATTTGTGTTTTTTTATTAACCTGCATTTCAATTTCATTAATTATTTATTGATAACTACTAAAAATATATAAAATTTTTAGTAATTTGTTATGAAACTTAAAAATAATAAGCATGAAATAAAATTAGAATATGAGATACAATGCATTAACGTTAGTCTTGAACTTCATTACTTCAGAAATGTGTTTTAGCCTCGAACTTCATTACTTTGGAAATATGTCATTGACTAAATTGCAATTTCTTTTTAAGAAAATAAGCTGTTCAAATACTTGTGGTTTAAGATTAGTACGTTTTGAAGACATGATATTCCCGGCATCTGAAAAGAGACGTTCACTAGGTGTTGATGTTGCAGGAATCGAAAGGTATTTGCGAGCAAGTTTAATAATTGTAGGAAACCTTTCTTGATTATTTTTCCACTAGTTAAAAGGATCATGCATTGGAGAAATTTCTGCTTGAGCAAGATAATCAGTTACTTCATCTATTCGAGGATGATGTAGCTGAAATATTCGAGTAATAAGTGAGTTGTTGCTTTTAGTTATTTGTTGAAATTCTTCATGATTAGATTGTAAGCTTGCAACCATATTTTTTAATATGTTTATCGTTTCTAATTTTTTATTTTCAGAGACAAAATTAAGAGATTTACATTGGGGATCCAATAATGCTGTTAGCATGCCAACTTCAGAAGGAACTGAATAATAATGATGCAAGCTTTTATTTAAAGCAGTTTTGATTTGTTTAATAAGCCCATCACAATTTTGGGGTGTATTAATTTGGATTTGCCAAGTTCCATTGTTTATCTCATCTATTTCCTCATCTGCATCCTCATAAATAATATCATCATCAAATGCAGTCGCACTTGATTCAAAGTCGATCATTACTGAATTATCATCAGTATCTAATGCAAGGTCATAAGCTAAAATTGAAATTATATAAAACATAAAACTAATTGTTAAATAATTGCTTCCTCCTAAAAATTCTGTTGCATTGGCGAATGGTTTTAATACAGGAAGGAGATCTTTAATAGTATCTCACTCAGCATTAGTTAAATTAATTTTTTTAAGATGCCTTACTTCTCATTTTGATTCACGATTAGTTTCTGTTTCAAGTATACTAATCATTACGTTTATTGAAGATTGTAACTTTATTAATCTTTCCCATGCAAGATACGATAAGTTCCATCGAGTTTTTGTATCGGCAATAAGCCGCAAATAGCAATCTGTTTTGCATAAAATCTAAAAAAAGTAATAGTATTATAATTAGTTAACTAATTAGTTAATAAATAAAATAATATATACATAACATTAAATTTTTTTTAGTTGCTAATATAAATAAACACACTTGATCTTCGGACACGTTTATTTTTAATTGAACTTGTTCTAACTTTTCACTTTGTTTTGGGCTCATAAAAAAATTAATCAACCTTCTAGCCCGAGCAACAAGTATTTCACAAGGAATAAGCCCTTTTCCAACTACAAGCTGTAAAGTGTGTGCAGTACATGATATTCGAGTTAATTCAGGTAAGAACTGTACTGCTTTAACTATGTTACTTCCATTATCGGTAGTAATACAAAAAATTCATTCATCCAAATTCTACTCATTAATAATATCATCTACTATATTGGCAATAGACATACTCGTATGTGGATATGGTAAATATCTAAGAGTTAAAAGTAACTTGTTTAATTTAAAATTTTAATCCAAATACGAACAGATAATTCCAATATATCCATTTTTCGACCGTGCCATCCACAAATCAGTTGTTAATGACCTATAAAAAAGTGACTCTGAAAGTTTATCCATAAGCTGTTGCTTTGTATGCATGAATGCTTGTGACAACAAAATTTTTATAGCTTTTTTAGATGGAAGTTTATAATTAGGAACTGCTTCCTTCATTACTTTAATAAATCCATCATCCGTAATTACTGAAAGAGGTTGCTGATCCTTATATATAAAGAATATGATCTTATTATTCAAGATTTGCTTATGAATCAAATTTATTTGATTATATTCAATATTTGATACATTATCAATGTTGTCTTTAGTAATACTATGTACCGTTTTAAGATGATACCAAAAATTACCCATTGATTTTGCAGTATTGAGATTTACCTCTTTTCTACATCGTTCATATCCATTTTTACTAAGTACATTTACTTTACATCTTCCAACTTGTTTGATTTTGTCCTTTTTAAAATAATGCCACACCTTACTTATCGAATTTTCTTCATCGGATTCATCAGATTCATTGGAAGAAACCAATGCTAAAGGTAAAGTATCAACTTTTCTTTTTTTGAATTTTGAGAATTATTGCTTGAGTCACTTTTGTGAATTTCATCAATGGTTAACAAGAATAAGACAGAAAATTTTTTTTATGTTTAATTATTTTACAATTAATATTATTTTACGATTAATTTTTTATTTTAAATATTCATATATTTTATTTAATATATTAAACTTTTTTTAATTTATCTATTTGACTTTTATTATTAATATTATATCATCATCAATTAATTATCGGATAACTGGATAATCCAGTCTAATCATCTAAAATCAAAATTTATTCAGATAATTATGTCATATTCGGATTATCCAGATCAGTCAGATAAAAAGTTCTATCTCTATCTCACATATAAAAGGGAGCTCTAATTTTCTCTCCACGTTCTGATTGGGTGTATGAAATACATCTCCCATTAGATAAAATAGATCACATTACCTTTAGTACAGCAAAAAAAAAAAAAGTCTTATTCAAAAAAAAAAATCTGATTCAAAAAAAAAAAAAATTCCAATTCTCGTCAAATAAAAAATTGTAAAAATATTTATTTGATATTTTATTTATTTTAGAACGATTATTTTTTTAAAATTTGTAAAAATATTTATTCAATATTTTATTTATTTTAGAATGATCATTTTTTTAAAATTTGTAAAAATATTTATTCAATATTTTATTTATTTTAGAACGATTATTTTTTGTCAAATGCGAACTTCTATTTATTTGAGAATGATTATTTTTGAAAATAAAATTTTATTTAAAGATACAAGCTTTCTATCAACAAAAAAATTAAATATATTCAAATTCGAATTAATGCTACATACTAAATTTTAAACAAATAATTTCAAATTAAATATTGATCAGATTTTATTTTGCTGCTTCCAATTAACGTTAGTAGATCTAAATATGCGCACACAAAAAAAAAAAATCTAATACTTATTTTGGCTTCGGATTTTCATATTTGGAGTTATTTATTTATTTAGATTCTTTGTTCATCATTAGTAGTAACTTGTGGAACTGATTCGATTCTTGCAATTCTTTCTCTTTCCGATTAGGCTGCTTGTCATAAAGCTATTCGAAGATTGTAAATATCTTCACCTTTTTTGCCTTCCCATTTTCTGGAAATTTCAGCAAGTTCTTCATGCAACCTTAGAAGTTGGGCATTTTTATCATTATTATCTGTAGCAAAGTTATCATCATACAAAATGTGAAAATCAGAAGGACTAGATTCTATGGGCAATTGATTGTCTTCTGTATTTTCATTGTTTGAATGGTTTTGTACTAATATAGTGAATATATGTTTGCATGGTAATTGTTGTGATTGAAAATCACAACAATTACAAACATAGAAGGAAATATTGAAGCAATTATCATCCGTTGCAGAATCTTTCTTTCTAACTGAATACTCCATGTCATTATTCGTCAAAGAATGTATAATCCACATATTAGACTGGATGTTATAAATATTATTATTATTAATATGTATAACATCTATATTTTCTCAAATGCGCTATTGGCGCTGTCACAAATTCATTCTGCTGATTTTTAATTTGTTCAGGAAAACAGAAAAATTCATATCACGAAGCACAACCTCCATGAGAAGATGAACTTCGCCATCGAGTCATCTGCCTTTAAGGAAAAAAAATCAAAAATTAGTAAATTAATTAAATAAAAATAATGATAATAAAATTAAATAATAAATATATAAATAAAAAAAAAACAAAAAATAAGAAAAAAACTTTCCGATTATAAAAAAAAATAAAAAAATAAATAATAAAATTAAAAACAAACTGATTATAAAAAAAAAACAATAAAAAAAAATGATTATAGAAATAAATAAATAAAATAAGAAAAAAATTAATAAATTAAAAAAATTAAAAAATTAAAAAAAAAGAAAAAATCTCGATTAATCATGCAAAGTTAATTTTTCATTTTGTGTTACATGGATTTCAAAATTCTCGGTTGGTTAATCAGATTTTTATTTTTAATCTACAGTGAATTAATGGGCTCATGTTTACATCTAAGGTTGTAAAAGGTTATTTGTCGCTTTTTATAACATGGAATCAAAAAATTGGGTTGACAGTCGAATTTTTTTTGTCAGTTCTATCGGATACTTTCAAGAAATAAGGTCCCTGTCAGGTAATACTGGATTAATTTTTTGAAAAAAATTAAATGGCAAAAATAGAATAATTGGCACAATTGGGGTTTAAAAAAAAAAAAAAATCAAAAATTTGAAAAAAACGGGTAATGCAAAACGAAAAATCAACTTGTGTGGCCTTATAAAAAAATTTTTTTTATTCCTATCTGGTCGCCCCCTCAAGTAAATATATTTTAGTTTGTGATGGAATGATTTGATTAAATTATTCGTATCCATCATGTCTTGAGAAATCCCTCTCATACAAATTATCCACAATTTATACTTCGGCTTCCACCAGCATTCAAAATAATTAGCAAAATTATTAATAGTCTCGACTTCCAATTCTCTCCATCGGTTAATTGCACCTGTAATCTGTGCTCGAGCATCAGCATCAGTCCATCTTTCTTCTTTTAGAAGCCACAAGAGGTCTTTCTAAACAGTTTTCTTTAAAGGATCATTGTTTGTGCCACGTTTATGAGAAAATCTTGAACACCAAGATTGCAAAACATGAAAATGGCACAAAAACACAGAACTATCAGGAAAATTTTCTTGGCAGGCTTTAATTTCCTCATCCGTATCATCTACCATAAAAATATCCGGTTTTCAACCCTCATTTTCATGTTTTAAAAAATCAAACCATTCCGTTAATGTCATTGTTTGTTTAAATTCGCTTATCAAGAACGCGACTGGATACCCACTGCCCACTACTGGATGTCTAATAACGAGGGTAAATAGATAATATCCATGATGGTTCATTCCATGAGTTCTGTCTAAACATATGACTCTTGCGAACTCTATTAGTTCCTTCTGCTCCTTACTTTAGAACATAAACATGAACCTGATATTATCTGCTTCATTATATTTTCTATATAAGCAAGCTCCGCCCTTACTGATTATCTTACTTTTCCACATTTCTAACGAATGAAATTCATCATTGTTGAAATAGGCAGATATTTTCAGCGTATTGTAAACAATTGCAGAGATATTATTCTGCGTTATTAATCCATCCTGTAGTGCTTGCACATTCTGCGAATAGCCTTCAGAGTTAAACAAATACATCTAAATAAGAATCAATTAAAATTAATAAAAATTAATAAAAAAAAAAAAAAAAAAAAAAAAAAAAAAAAAAAATTAAAAAAAAAAAAAAAAAAAAAAAAAAAAAAAAAAAAAAAAAAAAAAAAAAAAAAAAAAAAAAAAAAAAAAAAAAAAACAATAATTTAAAATAATAACGATAATAAAAAAATAAATTAATAATAATTTAAACTATAATAAATAAACAACAATTTAAAATATTACTAAATAAATAAATAAAATAAATAGATAAAAAAACAACCATTAATTTAAAAAAAAATTTGTTAATTTAATATATAAATAAAAAAAAATCGTTAATTTAAAAAAAAAAAAAAAAACTTGTTTTTGCGGTTTGCAAATTATTGATTTTCTAATTTCTTCAACATTTTTGACTTTTA